TTAGTTGTACTTATATTATAATAATATTATACTGTTGGAGAAAGTGAATATATGTTGTGTTGTTATTAATAATATGCAGTTAATCATTCGAAGTAAAAAAATGTTCTTATTTACTACTTGCACAATGTACAAAAGTATACAAAACAATGCGACTACAGAAGCCTTGTCCCACATATCGCATAGCAAAAGATAATATACAAGAGCTAGAAAGTAATTCCTCTAAATAACACGGCGAATAATTGAACGGTATGGAAATAATAACTTTTTAGGTGGAACGATAACTAATATTAGTAAGATATTCGAACCGTATCTATAGCTAAACAATGATAATATGCATTTAAAATTAACAAATCGAATTTAATAAAGAAATAATTAAATTAATGATTATTATTTTATTATATATTGAAAATCATGAATGAAACTCGATATGAAAAAAACTCATAGAGTATTTTTTTTAAATAATCAAACAGTATTTTTATGATAAAAATATAGAATTAAACCCATGAATGTATTCTAAACAAATAAATACTAAAATAAAAACTACAATTTCATTTTACCTAAATTATAATAATAATACTTGCTATAATATTGTAAATAATAATATTAGCATTCATAAATAATTAAGAATAACATTTGAATATTATTAAAATTTTTGTACATTTTTTTATTTTTAAATAATTTTCGTAAAATTCATGAATTTAAACTTTTGTATGAGGTGAAAAAAATTCACCTCTAAATGCCTATCTCATTATACATTTAGTATAAAATAATCTGAAGCTTGAAATCGATGCCTATACTACATAAATAAATATATATTCAATACTTCAAGATAGTGACGTTGACATTTTCTTTCGGAGCAGGTCGACTAAAGGGTAATAGTTAATATTTAATACATATTATATAAATTAGTGTATGTATAATGTGTATACTGGAATATAGAAGTGTATGCTGTATGGTCATAAATCATTACTTACGCTATCACTATTACATAAACAAATAATTTATAAATATATAGTTAATAGTTAGGTTACAGTTAGTTAATAAAGTATTATTTAAAAATATGTACGAAAATCTTTGAGTATAATAAAATAGAAAAACGTGTTATTGAAATAATAATTTAAAATCTAAGTGAAAATATTTTAATTATTTTACTTAATCACACAAGACGATTGAGGACAAAACGTAAATATACGCATATATATTGAATTGTGTGAAACTCGTGAAACACGATAACCGTGTTGCTAACCAAATGCTTTTTTCGCCGTTATTAGTCAAATAATTCTTTTTGTAATTCTTATATTAGATCATCTAAGAAACGATGCTCACGACTCTTTTAAACATTTTATTTCTAGAGGTCAAATTTTTTCTGATTATAATGCTATTTGACCAATCATTTTGCATGATTTTCTAATTTTCACTATACTTTCATAATTTTATTTATTCAAAAATAAAAAATAATCAATATTATATAATTTCTTACTATACCAATATACTAGCTTCAGATTATCAACAATTGCAAACAAAAATTATTATTTTTAGAAATTCATAACTATTATATTATAATTTCGTTGTTATACACGATTAGCATGTGTAATTTTTAATTATGCAATACTAATGCTATTCTATAAAAAAATATTACAATAAAATTGAAAATAAATGATTTTTTAAATTTGATTTCATTAAGAGAATTATTATTTTATAAAAGATTTATTACTTATACATATGTTCCATGAAATATAAAATATATCTTTATTCTATCTACGTGGTGCGTACGTTACATACGATTTTTATATAAATATTAATCAAAAACAAATTATATCCATTACTAATAAAAAAATTATTTAAAAAAAAGCCATAAATTTCAATCCAAAAAGTTTTTAATACAATTATTTTCAGGTTTAAATTATTAATTCACTATGATCTAGAGCTCAGAAAATAATAGATATCTAGTACCTATAGAAACTGATAAAAATTTAGTGATACCATAATATACTATAAATATATATACTGTACACAGAAGCATTATAAAAATTGTTTGTATAGTTTAACATTATAATTGATGTCTCGATGTTATGTTTAATTTTATTAGAAAAAAATGTCTGAATTATTATTCAAATAAATTTAAACCAACATTATTTAATTTTAAACTTAATATTTTAACAAATAAATTATAAATCATTAATTATGAAATAAAAAATGTATAGTAAATCATTTTGATTATTTAACCATCTAAAACTATTATTTGTATGTATTCATAACTTTATAATATGATATTTTAAATTCTGGATCATAAAAAATAAAACTTACTTCCTTTTAAAATGTTTTATATTGAAACTATTGAATGTAGACAACATTTATTTTAGACTTCAATAAGTTCATTAAGTTTATTTATATTTAAATTTAAAGTAATTTAGAAATGTTAATAATATATTATACCTTAGAGAAGATATATAATGTGAGAGGTAGTACCTATTGGTGTAGCGTAAATTATGAAATTTATCCATTTTTCAATGTTCAAAATATATTCATTAAAAAAATGTACATAAACAGACTGAATAACATTTATTCCTCTTTGAATTTTGCCTTATTAATATTAATTTAAACATGCAAACTGGAAACAAGTACAGGCGTCCGGCATACAAGTGTTTAAGCATGGAATACAGATACATGATAGGACTTGGGAACTTTATTGATTCCTCGTATCTTGTATTTATCTTGTGGTCCTCTACACATAAGTCAATATCCAACTATCAACATTATATTAATTAATTACATTTTAATGTTATTCTATATTATGTATAATCACAAAATTTAAAATTTTAAAAATATACGACGTGACTACATGAAACTATAGAAACTATTATAATATCTACGTTATACTTCAAAAATCGCGAGAAAAATTTATTATTGTATCATTTTTCCATTCTATATATAGTCTTTAAAAGACCTGTCATTTATATTATATTCTCTAATAAACTAAAGATATCTGTGATCGGTAAAAAACTAAAAATTATATTAATTATTATTTATATTTATAACTATAGGAAATATATCACAAACAATTTTCGAAACATTTAATAAAAAATAAAAATTGTATAATTGTATAATTTTGTCTAAAATCTCTATGTCTCTACCAATGACAATCATGAATAGGGTTCGGGACTTGTTGTATTAGTATATTGTTTAATGACGATTGCAGAATAGTCTAAGTAAGATATAAATTCGTATTAAATTATAACGGATAGGAATACAAACAATTTAATTACATATTTTCGATTATTTCGATATTTACTGAACAAAAAGCGCATTTGACAAATGTGGCAATTTAATTGTTATTTATATCATATTTATGCAGTTTTCGTTTGATGTTAAGTATTATACAAATATTTTATTTTAAAAGTATACATTATGTTTTTTACTTTCATGCATCGATCAATATACCTAAACATATAGGTATTATCGGTTATCGTAAATTGTTTGAAGAATGTAAAAGGAAAATAAGTATTAAATTTGTTTTTTTCATTGTAGAAGAAGATGAACATGATAAATCTAACATACACAGTAATATAATGTTTATAGTGTTATTGTTGTCAAAAAATACTTATTAAAAAAAAAAAATTTAATTGAATAAATCAAATTTTTTAATTATCATTATAAAAATATTAAGTTGCATATTTCGCGGTTATTTTAAGTGCATATTTCCAATAATTTGTTTGCAATAAGTCTCGAACCCTAATCATAAGACTATATCCATCTTCAGCAAAGTAATAAATACGAAGCAAATATTATTACAATCAAATTCAAAATATTCTATCAAATTAATATTATAAACAATAACTGCAGCAATCAACAAATAACAAAACTATGAGTTCGTAGTGGCAAGTTAGCCCTTTAGGCTAATTAAAATACTATATACAGTAGCGACATTTGTTTGGTTACGAGGGCCCGAGACTATGTATATTTTTATCATCCAACACCCACATTTGTTTGTAAATTTAAACTACTACACGAGTGAATATGTAAATATATCGTGAACTCTGAATCCTCGACATGTACTTATACGTACCTTTTTTATACTTGATAAGCGATTTCCACTAACTTGATAAACAATAATGCAATTAATATCGAGAGTGAAGAAATCGTGAATAAGTATTGAGTACGAATATCAAAAATATCTAAAGTCAAAAATCATATAGGTAGTAGAAGTGGTAAACAAAGTCATGGAAATTTAAAATAAGACGTCAGTTATAATGTAATGCAAATTCCCCAACAGTCAAATAGTATAATAAATGTATTTTATAATTTTTTTTTTAATATAATAAAACGTTCTTCCAGATAAAAATAGCTGTTAATTAACAGAGTACTAAATATGGTTTGATAAGAAGTAAATTGGTTAATACAAAATCGCCAAAGGAATTCGACGAGAAATTTGCTTTAAACTAATAGCAATCAATCACTCGTTAACTTATATATCTAGCGTTTATTTATGGCACTTGTACAATCCTTACTTTTTCTATGGGGTAAGTACGTAAAAATAATTTGTTAGTGAGGAGGTTATTCGTCATAGATTAATGTACCTAAATTTAATTTAAAAATAGGTACTTCATTTTTGTTATAAAACAATATCCTTTTAAAATATATTGTTTTCCCTTTAAATCAACGACATCTTAAAATTAGAGTTATAAACGACCCTCATGAAAGTGTTAAAACTATTTAAAGTAATACATTGTAATTTAATTTAACCGTTATAACATATAATAATACTTCTATGAAATTAAAATTGAATTACCAAAACGATAACGGTAAGAATGGCATTAACATAACAAAGTTATTTTATTGGACCAGTAAGAATAAAATCCAAAGCAAAATCTAATAATCAAGCTAGTCAAAAAAACTACTAAATTGGGGAAACATAACAAATTAAAAAATGGATTATATATAAATATATATGATATTATAATACTGCCTATCGGTTAATAATCTGATACGAGTGCACTTACCAAAGAAGTGATGCTGGACTTTTGAACGGGAGAACGGAGAAGAAAAGACCCTGGAAGTTTGCGTACGACCAGCGAAGCAGTGGCGGCGACCGTATACGAACGAATGAAAGATGTTTACGGAGCGCGATGACACAGGCGACTGACGGCACACAGTAGAGGCCAGAGGGACGGCCAAAAAAAATAAAATAAATAAAAAAGATTCGAATCGACGTACGGTGACGGGGGATGCGCGGGGCACGCTGGTATCTGCATAATCGACACACCGGACCGTGACAACGGCCACTGATTATAATTATTTTTTTTATTATCACTTATGAATCTTCACAAACAAGTAGATTTGTTTTAAATCGATATTTTGATAACCCTGCTTGCCATTTTCGGCGATAGTGTATAATCAACAACTAAATGGACGGTAAATAACGAGATAAACGACTCTAGAAATCGTCACGATTCATAATCCATCAGCATAATGTTATCGATCTCACAACTCAACGATTGTTTATTTACACGACATCATCTTAAAACACTCAATCCCATAGAATACAATTATATACTGATTGTTCGATCTCTTCAATTTATTCCGCAGAGGACACAACGGATACGAAATCCATCGGTTTCGTCTTGATAAAGTAAACTCTATCATGGGTTTCGAATTCAAAATGTATAGTTTTACGTTATCAATACGCATGGCTGCTCCTGATATCAGGAGATAACAAAAATTCAAAAGTAGACCAACATTCTCCTGAAATTATTAAGACTTCTGAAAAATTGCTTTCTGGAAACTTAAAATTTCGTAACCATTTATAGATGGTTCACCATTAGTCGAAGTGACGGACACAGTGTTTTTGTTCCGGTTTCCCCTTCAACCCGTCTTTAGGCTTCACTTCAATAATGAAGTATTTTCAATATTTACTTTGGTTTGCTCACGAGCATGTGCCTTTTCGTTTAATCGTAAGATATTAATATTTCTATCATATGTTTTTCTTCTTCACCTTTCTCCTAACTATTTGAGGTCGGCCTCCATTATCCTAAACCTCCTATTTCAATTATATAGTAAATAAATAAATAATTGTTAATAATTTCCATATACTCCTATTTTTCAGGAGATTGAATCTATTGCTTCTGCACTGAAAATACCAATTAAATGGCTTGAACCTCCATCTGATAAAGTAAGAATCATTATTTTTTCACTGTGGTTTTTTTTAAGTTAGTCACTAGAGTGACTCTGTATGTAAACGTCACATTAGAATTTTTTTTTTGGTCTTTATATACAATATACATTGAAAAATAAAAGCCTTTTATTGGATTCTTATTTTAAAATTGTTAAATTATATTAAATATATTAATTTTTCACAAACAAAATATTACATATTTGTCATCAGTATTCAGTAGTAGTTTCATTAGATTTTTAAAATTTTCATTTATTATCATTAGCCATGGTATCTTGTTGAGCTGCCTTCAGAAGAAGCTGTACAAAAATTATCCTCTCGTTCAGTTACTATGAGGCGTGCTATACAATTGTGGGCTGATGAACTAACTGTACCAAAACTTCATGCTACTTTAAAAGAAAAGTGTTTAAATGGTATACTTGAACCATACAAGTCAAAATCATTTAAAGTAGATGTAGATTTATTTTGCAATTCACAAACACAAGAAGAAAAACTTGAACGAATAGAAGTAAATAAATTTGATCATTGCATTTTTAATCATAGAATGTCATTATATTGTTATATTAGTCTTTTAGTTATATGCCATTTCAAGGGCATGTAAATCTCAAAAATCCAGATGTAATATTTCAATTTATTGAGTATTATGGTTTAGACCCTAATACTGCGCCTGAATATCCAACACGCGCATTTTTTGGCCGAGTAGTATGTATAATAATATTGTTATATTAAAATTAAAATATAAATGTATTAATATGTTTACTATAGGTGGCAGAAAGTGGACGTACATTAATACATGAGCTGTCATTAAAAAAACGCACATTTATTGGTAATACTAGTATGGATCCACAGCTCTCTCTATTGATGGCAAATTTAGGAAAAGTTTCAAATGGAGATTTAGTATTAGATCCATTTGTTGGAAGTGGTTTGTGCACTTTATGTTTTAGTTAAAATATGAACTAATTAAGATGTATTGTTATAAATAACCACATAAAATTGATTTTTTTCTTGAATATGTCAACAATACTAATGAATAATGCACTAAAACAAACTTTCAAATTTAACTACAATTTTAAAGTAAAAAATTAAAAAATAAGTATTGATTTCGCTTCGGGAATGTACAAATTCGTGAATGGAAATGTTCACACAATAAATTATTATGCAATTTATATTTTTTTATGTATTTATTATTTTATATTATAAATTATTAAATAGTCATTTCCAGGGCTCATAATTTATAGCATTTACATATTTTTTTTTTAGAGTCCCTAAAAATACCTATGTGTTCTATACATTTGTTTTAGATAGCTAAGAAGCTAAATACAAAATTTTATGTTGCATATTTTTGCATATTTTAAATTATAAGTGCTATTTTGCTTTTTTCTATTTTTCAAACTTATTCTTGCATATTTAGAAATTTTTTATTTGCTATTTTACTTTTTAAGTATTTTTAAATTCTGTAGCATTTAAAACATTTTTAAAACATTTATTTTTAATAACAAGTAATTAAAATAGTGTTAATTTTTATGTTTGTAATTAATTCATGTTAATTAACTAACTATTCTTCTTTATATGCTTATATGATTATTTTTAAGAGCATATTATAGGGCTTATAACTGCTTTTTTAGACCTATAAATTATGAGCCCTGTTCATTTCTAGAAGCTATTGTCATTTTTTTTAAACTTCATTGCTGTTTTTATTATATTATTGTAGATTAAATTACAAATTGATTCATAGTCAAATTATAAAAAAAATTAACAGTATTTGTTATTTATTATTAATGATAATTGTTCCTTTTCATATTGAATTGAATTTTATTAGGTTCACTATTAGTGGCTGCAGCAAAATTTGGCGGATATGTAATAGGAACAGATATTGATTACTTAATGCTTCATGGACGTACAAGACCTACTAGAAAACAAACAAGAGTAAGAAATAATATATTTTAAACTAAATAACAATAAATATATTGTATTTTAAATATAGAATTTTAAAATTTAAATTTTTATCGAGGTGGTAAAATCCATATTTTTATATAATGGAATTTGGAACTTTTTTACATTGTTTATTAATTTGTTTAATATTATAACTTATATACATTTTAGCATATAGCAAGAAAAGATGAAAGTATTGAAGCCAATATGATACAATATTCATGTGTTGATAAATATATTGATGTAATTGTTGCTGATTCAGCATTACCTTTTTGGCATAATGACGTAGAATTTGACTGTATTTTAGCAGACCGTAATATGAAAGATATTTGTATTTTGAAGCAGTTTAATTGAAGAAATAAAATATTTTTTATTTACAGCTCCTTATGGTATTAGAGAACCTACTGAACGAATAGGTTCAAAAGAATCATTACCTATAGTTAAGAAAGAAGGATCACCTGTACATTTTCCATCCAAAGTAGAATATGGATTAAATGAGATAATCAAAGATCTGATGAGATTTTCTTCCAAGCACTTAAAATTAAAAGGAAGATTGTTGTTTTGGGTACCAGTCTTTAGAGAAGATTATGAAGAAACACATATGCCAAGACATAGTTGTTTTAAATTAATTGGAAACTGTGAACAAGTTTTAACTACATTCACTGCAAGGCGGCTTTTGGTTTTTGAAAAAATTAAAATTCCTCAAGTAATCTTCCGAATCCTATTTTTTTTTATAGAATAACTTACTTAAATTAAATTTTATATTATTTTAAAATCAGGATTCTGACGAATGTAGTTGTACAATTCCAAGTTCTAGCACTTTTAGAGAAAAATATTTCACTCATGGTAATGAAAATCGTCTTACAAGAAAGCAAAAAAAAGCTATAGCTGCTAAAAATAAAGAAATATGGTTTGCAAAATTAAATGATGCTAATGTAAAATAACACGTAATTATAAATTAAATTATTTAAGGATAATGAGAAATGTATGAGTATAAATAAAGTATATTTTATACCTCGATTTTTTTTCTATTTATTTGAAAATATGAAAATATTTATTTTATCAAATTATTATTTACATTTATAATATTATTGACCTACCATACTTAGTTATTAATTTAATATACTTCTATAATTTTTGTCCCATTGGCTATTTCTAATTTTTAAACATGTTTAAAGTACATATAAGAGAATTATTAAAATACAACTAATAATAGAATATTAAAGTAAGAAAATATTAACACTTAGTTGCTAATTTACATTACAGCTCAGTTACGTCAACCATCTAGCTCCCACTCAGGTTAGTTGGAAGTGATCCTTATCAAAATTTAATTTTATTATATTCAAACAAACACATCTTAAAATAGCTCTATAAATAATCTATTTCTTCATTAAGCAATAAAAAATGTAATAAAAAAAAATAAAAAATTTTAGTTGCTAGTTGTTCAGAAAATATAGAAGTCAGTGGTAGATATTAAATTGTATTTCAATATAAATGTGTACAAATGAAATACCTAATATTTATGTTATTAATTTTTTATAGTACAGAACATTTCAGCATTAGTTTGATCACATATACTCAAATATTATTTTTACTTGATCTAAAGACTTATTACAATTATTTATTCAAATTTATATAAGTTCTAACTATATAGTATATTTTTTATAATCATATTGCATATAAGTATTTAAATATATTTCTAGAATTAAAAAAAATATACAATTTTAGAAAAGATAATAGAAATAGCTTATAAAATATCTGTTTATATCAAATTATTTGGTATGAAATATATTTCTAGTTTTTGGAAATATCTCAATATTTATGGTGTTAAAATATTAAATAAACACATTTATACCAAATTTTATCATATTGTTTTAAGTAGTATATCTTATAAAAATTAAATAATTTATTTTTATTTAATATTTAATGCTAGTTTTAAATTTGCATTTGCAACACAATTATAACTGTGAATTTACATAAATTGATAAATTGAAACTGGTGAGCAAAATAAAATAATTAATTTTTAATTTATTGTTATATATGGATTTTGAATTTATCAAGTTTTAATTATATTAAATGTAAAAAAATAATAACTATAAATATTTACACATAAAATTAAGTAATAAATATATATTATGTTTAAGCATATTTTTTAATATCAATTAATATAATTATAATTGTCTCTTGAAATCCACAGTATAAATTTAATGTATGAACTATAAATTATTATTTTAATAAGATTTAAATTTTCTTATGTTTTTAATAATTAATTCAAGTCTAATTTTTATTTAAGCTTTAATTGTTTTAATGTCAACTTAGATATTATGTCTAGGAAATTTCAATACTTTTGCAGATTTTCTATTTGAACATCCATCTTTGTCATAAAATAAATGTGGGCAGAACATTAGTTTTGCAAGGTTGAAATTCAAGTAAATCCTTATCCAAGACCTTAAGTATAAGACCATATTAATAGTATTTGTAGACAAACATGATTTAAATTTAAATGATTACACTGATTGTATAATTTGCTAATAATATTCTGTATTCATCAATTCACCAAAAATATTTAAAAAGGTTTATCGTAGAAAATATAAATACATTTAGTTTTGTATTAACAATTCTATAATTTATTCAAAACTCAATTTTTAATTAATTACATTTATGATACAAATAATCAACATTTTTTAAATGCTTTATGAAAAGATAACTAAAATTTTAACGTAATAACAATTTAAATGAAATAATTCAAGTTTAAGTTAGCTTATTTGAACTGTATTATAAAAATATGGGGTCAAAATAAAAAATTATAATAATTTAATTTGTGTTCTTAAAATAATACTTTAATAAAATTAATTTAACAAATGAATATAAGATTTCCAATAGTAATTAGAATGGAACATTTAGATTAAATCTTATAAAACAATAAAATTATTGTGTGTGATATTTGAGAAACAATGTGATATAAGAATTATATTTTTAGGAACAAAAAAATTAAAATAAATTATTCATCAACAAGTTACAAAGTGATATTTCTTCTTGCTAATTTATAAATCAGATCGACTATACTAGCACGTTTATTTTTCAGATCAACCTGGTCTACAGGATCTATATTGTGAATATCTGAATCTGCACATACACATTGGGCAACATTTTCTGCATTACATATCAAGTATATTCCACAGTCATAACTGTTTTGTTGTTGCCTGGTTGGCAGTGGTGTGATAATATCTAGAATATCTTTAAAATAAAACTTCAGCTTTAATGCTAATTTTCTTGCTTGTTTTTCATTTGAATTCCATATCGAGTCCAAGTGGTACAGACGTCTGTCTAGTGCACTATACACAACCAACGACCAATGGGTACCACCTACTGAATGCAGCTGTTCCTGATCATTTAATGGGAAAAAAATGTATGAATAATTTTTGTCTTTGACAAGCGGGTCGAGAAACACAGTGATATCTTCTACATTGCATTCTTTAATGCACTGGACAACTTGTGGGGTAACAAAGTACACCTTAGAATTGTTCTTGAACACATCGGTGTTTAGGTATTCCATGTAGAAGCCAATAACGATATCGTTTAACCATTGATCGTCGATCAGCAAATGGACGTCAGACTCGTGAAGTTGAAAATTCTCGTAGTTCAACACTACCGGATCTCTGGACGACGAACTGTTCTGGTTCATTTTAATAGTTTTCAAAATTCAAATATGACAATCAAACATAACCGTACTGCTCGATTTATAATTGTAATTTGTAACAATTATTGTCATAACCGAACGATGATAAAATAAAAATTAAAGACGAATGATAAACAGAAAAACAAAAAGTAAACAAAAAAAAAAGGAATTACTTGCTTAGTAAATACAGTGTGCCCGGGCTACAAAATTAAAATTATGTTTTAATTCTTCATGAAATGAAAATAGCCTTATTCGGATATGAGCCTTATTTAAGACACAAGAATTACTTACACTTTTCTACGTCCCTACTTCACTACTTGCACTATGAAAATTAGATTAATTTTTATTTTAATCTGGTCAACCTCCAATCGAAGATAACAAGTAAACATGAAATAATTCTGTTGGCACTATTATACACAATAAACATAATTATTCTTAATTTATATCTTACATAGGTAGCATGTTTTCCGAGGTAGCAAAAAAAAAAAAAAATATGCAAATGCATGAATTTACGAGCCCTGTTCATAACTATAGTCATAAACCGTGGTTATTAGTAGTTACAAGTATTTTTATGAAATTAATATTATCTGACTTTAGTTGGTAAATCTGCTGTGTATGTATATGTGTAATATAACCATTTTTTTAATACATTTGTAAGTTAAATAGGAAGATACTTCTAAGTCGCACTATGTACTATGGTTGGTATCGAACATTGCTCACGAATGTATTAAAAAAATCGCTATACTATACATAGGCATACACAGCAAATGTACCAACTAAAGTCAGTCAAGATTAATTTCATCGAAATACTTGTAACTACTAATAAACACGGTTGATGACTATAGTGATGAAAAAGACTCGTAAGTTAATGCATTTGCATGTTTTTTTTCGCTACATCGAAAAACATATTAAGTGAGATACAAATCCGTTTCAAAATATTGATAATAAAAATCTGAAGTTTAATAGAGCATGATTTCGCATGTTTATGTATTGGCATATAGTTGATTTTTTTGAGTTTTAAGCGCATATTTTTTTATGTAAATTTAGTAAAATCGTTTTTTGTAGAAGTTAAAAAAAAATTAAATCAATAAATGCTTGATATCATTCTTATTTACTTTTCCGATTATGTTTAAAATTTTTTTAATATTTTATCAGTATTTTTATTATTGTATGACATTGAGTTTTAAAAGTTAAAAGCAGTACCACGGAAAAAATGTTATTTCGCACCAACTACCAACCCTCCTCCTATTGACGTGTGCATTGCAATCTATCAATTTACTTTCGTCTCAACGTGTATTCGTGAATTATAGTTTTAATAAAATGTAATCGAAGAAATAAAATATAACGTTTAGAAATATGAATGGATAATTCTTATTATTTAAAAAAATGCTTGTAAATTTTTTTTTGTACATGGTTTAAGATTTTTAATGCATATAAATGCATATTTTGAATTTTTTAGTGCATATTTTAATAGGTAATTTATCAAATGTAGGTGTATTATTTCATTTTTTAGTGTATGAATTTACGATCCCTGGTTATGAATAATATTATTTGTCGTTATTACATATAACTTAAAAGTTACATGAATATTATTGCAACACATAGTACACGGTTAACGAAACAACACTGCGATGAAAATTGGTGCGTTTATTTATCAGTGTATAGCTTGTACAAAAATTAAGAAAAATAAAAAATACGATAACATCAACATCGTAAGTGTATTATAATGGGCTGCTGGACTGCGTGGACGGAGATCGTGTAGCCAAATCAAAAAGCACCACCGACATTTTCGACCAGAAACCCAAGTACAGGGTTGACAGAGGACTTCGACGGTACTCCGTGTAAGTCGGCAACGAATAGATGGGTGGCTGTTTCATCGGCTGGTGCGAAACTGACACGTCAGGTGATCCTGTTGGAGCGGTTAAAAGCGGAACTCTTAAAAGGTCCCATATTTCACTGTATTTCTGATCGACTTGCGGGATTTTGGGCGATCCGTTCTGCGGGTCCAACGGTGGAGAGGATGGCTGTCCACTTGGTTCGGACG